TCACGACTGCATGGCGATGTGCATGGCGGGGAGGTGTGCATGGTGGGAGGTGGTGATGTGCATGGTGGGGAGGTACATGGTGCATGGTGCATGGTGGGGAGGTGGTACATGGTGGGGATGGTGCATGGTGCATGGTGGGGAGGTGGTACATGGTGGGTGGGGAGGTGGTGCATGGTGCATGGTGGGGAGGTAGTGCATGTGGGGAGGTGGTGCATGGTGCATGGTGGGGAGGTGGTGCATGGTGGGGAGGTGGTGCATGGTGGGTAGGTAGTGCATGGGTGCATGGTGTGGTGCATGGTGCATGTGGGGAGGTGTGCATGGTGCATGGTGGGGAGGTGGTGCATGGTGCATGGTGGGGAGGTGGTGCATGGTGGGAAGGTGGTGCATGGTGCATGATGGGGAGGTGGTGCATGGTGCATGGTGGGGAGGTGGTGGTGCATGGTGGCATGCATGGTGGGAGGTGGTGCATGGTGCATGGTGGGGAGGTGGTGCATGGTGGTGCATGGTGGGAGGTGGTGCATGGTGGGTGGTGCATGGTGGCATGGTGGGGAGGTGGTGCATGGTGGGTGGTGCATGGTGCATGGTGGGGAGTGGTGCATGGTGGGAAGGTGGTGCATGGTGCATGGTGGGGCATGGGGCATGGTGGGGAGGTGGTGCATGGTGCATGATGGAGGTGGTGCATGGTGGGGAGGTGGTGGCATGGTGGGAAGGTGGTGCATGGTGCATGGTGGGGAGGTGGTGCATGGTGCATGGTGGGGAGGTGGCGATGGTGCATGGCGGGGAGGTAGTGCATGGTGGGGGTGGTGCATGGTGCATGGTGGGGAGGTGGTGCATGTGTGGTGCATGGGTGCATGGTGGGGGTGGTGCATGGTGGCATGGGTGGGGAGGTGGTGGTGGTGGTGGGTGGTGCATGGTGGGGAGGTGGTGCATGGTGGGGAGGTGGTGGTGGGGGAGGTGGTGCATGGTGGGTAGGTATGCATGGTGGGGAGGTGGTGGTGGGTGGGAGGTAGTGCATGGTGGGGAGGTGGTGCATGGTGGGGAGGTGGTGCATGGTGGGGAGGTGGTGCATGGTGGGGAGGTGGTGCAATGGTGGCATGGTGGGGAGGTGGTGCATGGTGGGTAGGTAGTGCATGGTGGGGAGGTGGTGCATGGTGGCATGGTGGGATGGTGCATGGTGCATGGTGGTGGTGATGGTGCATGGTGGGGAGGTGGTGATGGTGCATGGTGGTGGTGGGTGCATGGTGGGAGATGGATGGTGGTGCATGGTGGGGAGCTGGTGATGGTGCATGGTGGGGCATGGTGGGTAGGTAGGCATGGTGCATGGTGGGGAGGTGGTGCATGGTGGGGACATGGTGAGGAGGTGGTGATGGTGTAAGGTGGTGCATGGTAGATGGGGATGGTGAATTACAGGTAGGGGAAGGGTAGGGGATGGGTAAAGGGGTGGGGAGGGAGGGAGGGGTGGGTGAGGGAAAGGGGAGGTTAAGAATAAGGGGTAGGAGGGGGGGTTAAAGACTCACTTTTTTTGAAATATGAAAATTATATTTAGAGGGAAAACAAGAAAGGAGAGAGAGAAAGAGAGAGAGAGAGAGAGAAAGGGAAATAGAAAGAAAGAGATTGAGAAAAAGATAGAGAGAAAAGATACAAGGGAAATGAGGAGAACACACACCACAAAGATAACACTCGATATAGTTGACAGTTGAAGGATAATAACAATATAAGAAGACAATGAAACGTCAAAAATATAGACGGAACGTTTCTCAAGTGTCTCTTAATTTAGATTCGTAAACGACATTTTGAAAGGGATTTTTTTCTGTTTTTTATGGAGTGTTGTGGTTAAGCCTTTTGTTGTAGGCTGAGCACTGAGAAGCCTATTATTCGTTTAGACGTTTACTGGCTGTTTTATTGTTATTATTATTTCTATAATCGTTATTATTATCATTATTACTATTAATATTATTATTATTATTACTATCATTAACATTATTGTTGTTTTTTCATGTGTGCGTAAGTGCGTTTGTGCATATGTGCGTGTGTGTTTGTGTGTGTGCATGTGCGTGTGTGTGCATGTTTATGTGTATGTATTTGTGTGTGCGTGTGTCTGTGTTTACGCAGTTTTGTGTTTGTGGAAGAGAACTGTTTATCGTAGAGACAAATTCAAGCTACGTATTCGCCTCCATAAAAAAATCAGCCTAAACCAAACCATAGATCATATAGGCCTACATCAATTTTGGCAATGCGCACGCTCTCCACAAATACCCGCCTGGGTTGATCAGCTGGCGACCCACCTTACGTTGCGGAGCCCCTTCTGCGTGGTGGACCATCCACCCCCCCTCCCACCCCCACCTCTCCAACCCCTCCCCAACCTCCACCTCCCCTACCCCCCTCCACCCTGCCACCGGCGAAGGAGCCCGGCTGACGGAGACTCGGGGCGGGGACTTGGGTGGCGTCGTCGACCTGCCATCCGTCACCGGCAAGAAGAATCGCTTTCTCGTAGGTTTTGATTCCAGGACTTTTCTGCCAGTCACTCGGACATGAGAAGAAGGTGGGGTGGGGGGTGGGTGGGGGGGGGAGGGGGAGAGCGGCGCCCGTGCAGGTGAATCAGCTGGTGGCCAAGACAGCTGTTGTGGAAGGCGCAGCTGTTCCGAGCGCGGGGAGGAGAAGGAGAAGGGGAAGAGGGGGAGTTCGAGACGTTCTGCAAGGATCACCGTCTCCTTGGGGACACTCAGTCACGCCATCGGGGAATAAAGAACAGAGGTAATTCCTGTGCAAAGAAAAAGAAGAAGAAAAAAAATAGTAGACGTAACGGTTATTCGCGAAGTACATCCGTTTTGGCAGCATTCACGGCAGTTTAGAGTCGCAGGAGTCACCTTGAGTCGGGAGCGGCATATGTCCGAGTCGGCGCAGCGCTGGAGAAATGGATCACGGCAGGTCACACGTTTGTGGCTTTCTGGCTTTTAATTTATGGCGATGAGATGGGGAGATGGATAACTATGGATGAATTTTAATAGTTTTTTATTTATTTATTTTTTATTTATTTTATTTTTTAGCAACCTTTGATGAGTTGGGGATCCTTCTTATTCTTAATTGTTTCGTTTGGTACTTTTTTTTCACTTCTCTCTCTCTCTTCTCTCTCTCTCTCTCTCTCTCTCTCTTCTCTCTCTCTCTCTCTCTCTCTCTCTCTCTCTCTCCTCTCTCTCTCTCCCTCTCTCCCTACTCTCTCTCTCTCTCTCTCTCTCTCTCTCTCTCTCTCTCTCTCTCTCTCTCTCTCTCTCTCTCTCTCTCTCTAACCTCTCTCTCTCTCTCTCTCTCTCTCTGATTGTTCTTTCTCTTCTGAATTCCGTGGTTATTGCTCTCTCGCCTGCCAGGGAGTGTTCGATGATCCATTGCGTGCGATACAACACTTGCGTTCCTGTAGCGATGCAACGAATTCAAGTAACTCGCAATACTGACTCACCTCACGCCCAGGAAGGGGGGGGGGGGGGGGGAGGAGAGAGAGAGAGAGAGAGAGAGAGAGAGAGAGAGAGAGAGAGAGAGAGAGAGAGAGAGAGAGAGAGAGAGAGAGAGAGAGAGAGAGAGAGAGAGAGAGAGAGAGAGAGAGAGAGGGTGAAAGGGAAGTAGAGAGAAAAAAAATATATATTATATATATATATATATATATATATATATATATATATATATATATATATATATATATATATAATATATATATATATATATATATATATATATATATATATATATATATATATATATATATATATATATATATATATATGTATGTATGTATGTATGTATATATATATATATATATATATATATATATATATATATATATATATATATATATATATATATATATATATATATATATATATAATATTCTCTCTCTCTACTTCCTTTCCTCTCTCTCTCTCTCTCTTCTCTCTCTTCTCTCTTCTCTCTCTCTCTCTCTCTCTCTCTTCTCTCTCTTCTCTCTCCCTCTCTTCTCTCTCCCTCTCCCTCTCCTCTCCTCTCCTCTCTCTCCTCTCCCTTCTCCTTCTCCTCTCCCTCTCCTTCCCTCTTCCATACACTGAAAATCACATCGAAAATACAACGGACTTTGATAACGAACATTCTACTTCATTTTTCCCTCTGTTTCTATCCTTAATCTCAAGGGTGAATCCAGGATGCTGAAGGATTAAGAACATCCACTCCATATGGATCTGGGATGGAAATGCGGGAAAGGGTGCATGCGTCGTGTGTCTCACCCTCGTCTCTGGCGTACCAGCGCGAGTGTGTGTCTGTCCCTGTCTTTTTACCTTCACCCTAATCCTTACATATGGAGGCGTGGTAATCTCAGGGCGGCGGGGCGGCTGCGAGAGGTGTTTTAGTGCGCAAAAAGGCATGATTTATGGGTCCGTTTGGCTAATGGGGAGAATAGATACACATCTGCGGAAACATGGTTATGCATGCACAGGCGTGTACATACGCACATGAGTTTGATATACATTGGGAGGGAACAAGCGTACAAACGCATGCGCACACATACATACGCATGCGCGCACACGCACACACACACATACATACACACACAAACACACAAAAACACACGGAATCCACCATGGTTTACTATACCGTGTCCCTCGCAGACTTGTTATTTAAGTTCGTTCGGTTCTGTTTTTCTCTCTTTCTCCATAGCCTCACCCCCGCTCCCCTCTAACCCCCCCCCCCCCTCCCTCACCGCCCCCGTTCAAGGGTGTTCTATTTTGTCGTCTGACATTCGAATTCCCTTTCCGCGGAAGAGTTGTCAGTCACGGATGTCAGCCGGGGGAAAAAATGCTGGTTTTCATTCTCAGCTGACAACAGTTTCCATGACGCTTTTATTAGAATATTTACATGTGCGAACAAAAATGCACACGCGGCGATGCTACGAGCGAAAGTGTCGTGTACATTTTTTTTTTTTTGGGGGGTGTATTTTTTTTTTTAGTTTTCACTTTTTGGTTTCGCTTTCATTTGCATGCGGCGATATATGTGTTTCGTTTTTTTTTCTCTTTTCTTTCTTTTCTTTGTGCGTGGCTATTTTGAGTTACTTCGGTGTGCGTGTTTTTTTTTCGTCTTTGTTATTATTATTATTATCTTTTTCGTCTTCTTCTGTGAGACACTTTCGCTCATTTCTTCTTTGTGTTTATTTGTGTCTTTCTCTTTACTTAACACACACACAACACACACACACACACACACACACACACACACACACACACACACACACACACACACACACACACACACACACACACACACACACACACACACAATCTATGTTGCAGAATGTATGAGTATGCATAGCTTTATTTTCAATTCTCCTTTTCAGTTGAGTGATAAGCCTAAAACGGAATGACTTCATGCCAAAAATAGATCACGTCAGTGAATTGTTTGCAATATTACCTCATTCTCTCTCTCTCTTTGTTTCTCCCTCAGTCACTCTCTCTCTCTCTCTCCTCTTTCTCTCTTTTCTCTCTCTCTCTCTCTCTCTCTCTCTCTCTCTCTCTCTCTCTCTCTCTCTCTCTCTCTCTCTCTCTCTCTCTCTCTCTCTCCTCTCCCTCTCCCTCTCCCTCTCCTCTCCTCTCCTCTCTCCCTCTCTCCCTCTCTCCCCTCCTCACAGGCAAATTAACACAGAAGCATGCATGCGGCAGGTGTGTGCAGCATGTTTGCGTGGTCACGTGATGCTGCATAACATTCCCATGGACGTGTAGCATCGGTATGCA